CATACAAATTTTGGATGTAGATGGACAACATTATATTGTGATAGAGGATCTAAACTCAAAACATACAAATTTTGGATGTAGATGGACAACATTATATTGTGATAGAGGATCTCAATTCAAAACATACAAATTTTGGATGTAGATGGACAACATTACATTGTGATAGAGGATCTCAATTCAAAACATACAAATTTTGGATGTAGATGGACAACATTACATTGTGATAGAGGATCTCAATTCAAAAGATACAAATTTTGGATGTAGATGGAAAACATCAAATGGATCCCGATTTCTAGGATTCATAAATAATTCAAACACTATACTACTAAACGACTAACTCACTGGAGTACAGCTACAAATACTCGATTTATGTATAACTTCTATAGATTTAAGTGTGTAATGTTCAGAATTTCACGAAGGGCAAGATATAGACAGTGACCACTTTCCTATATGGTGTAACTTCGATCTCGCACCCCACCAAAACAAATCAATACCTCAGCAAAAACTCAATTATAATAAAGCAGATTGGCAGCAATACAAAACGAAATTCCATGAATTCCTACCAAATTCAACCATAACTAGTGCCTCGCGCTCGCGAGACATAGATGAATACTGTCAAGTAATAACTGAATGTAATACCAAAGAAACAGAAACAACTACACCAAAACAACAAAACCAAACAGCAATACACACGTGGGAACCACATAACAACTTAATAGGCACGATTAAAGAAAGACGCTGACGAGAGATATAACACAGAAACCACAAATACATGCTCTTTGTAACAAAATCAGAAACGAAACTAAACTACTAAAACAAGACAACTGGGACACTTATTGTAATACCCTAAACACATAACAAAATCCTCAAAAATTCTAGAATCAAAAGAGATAAACACACAAGAAAACATCCGAACACTAGTTCAAGGTACCAAAACAGCATATACTGACAGTTAAAAAGCCGAACTATTTAAAGAACACCTACAAAAGATTTTTCAAACACAAAATGACTCAAGACATGAATGATCACTACCGTAACCAAGTAGATAACAAAATTAAACAAAACAAAGATATAACCACTCCCAACACAAACAACCAAAGAAGTAACAACTAACACCCTGGATGAATATATGACAAGCGAAATAACAACGACACAAATCTCGATAGCTATAAAACACACTAAAAACAAGGCTCCAGGAACAGACAACATACAAGCGATACTTCTCAAAAACGGAACTCAGTTCTTACTTGAACACCTCAAGGCACTTTTCAACCTCTCCCTGAAAACAGGGTACATTGTTTGTTTGTTTGTAATTAAGCACAAAGCTACACAATTGGCTATCCGTGCTCTGCCCACCACGGGTATCGAAACCCGGATTCTAGCATTATAAGTCCGCAGACATACCGCTGTGCCACTGGGGGGTAACAGGGTACATCCCTGTTTCTTGGAAGCAAGCAAATATTCTCATGTTTATAAAAGAAGGGAAACCAGCAAATAAACCACAAAGTTATAGACCAATCAGCCTGACCAGCTGCGTAGGAAAAATTTTTAGAAAGAATAATTAGTGAAAGACTAAATAATTGTCTAGAACAAAATTCCAAATTACCGGAGGTACAAAACGGCTTCAGGAAATTTCGACCAACCACTGATCATCTAGGCAGGTTAACTGAAACCGCTATAGACAGTTTTAATAAAAGAGAGTGCACGGTTGTTTGCCTTCTCGACTTAGAGAAGGCTTTTGATACAATCTGGCACTCAGGTCCAAGGTTCCAGATGTTAGAGATGAAACTACCACGAGGAATTATTCGCTGGCTGTCCAACTTCCTTGAAAATAGAAAATACCGGGGGCACCTACTCTGAGTACTTTACTCCAGAGGCAGATGTACCTCAAGAAGGGGTAGTTAGCCCCATACTCTTCATCATTAGACGACCCCAATTTTTGCTTCAACTCACAATTTGCAGATAATGTAGCTATCTGGAAGAGTTCCGAAACACCATCTATAAATCTACAACCTTCACTAAATGCCACCACCGAATACTGTTTCACGACACGAATAAAAATCAGTATACCTAAAACATAAATCCTAGTACTCGCAAAATTAAAAAAACTAATCAAAATCATCCCCAAATTATATCTAAACGGAAAACTCCTCCAGAGAGCTACATCAAGAAAAATTCTCGGTCTCACGTATGATACAAAAATAACCTGGCAAATTAAATTTCAAACAAAATCTGGCAAAGAACAAATGAAGCTAGAAGTCTGTAAGGAAATAATACAGGAACAACACCAAGAAATATATTAAAAATATACAAACAATACATACGACCGGTTATAGAATATGCTTGTCTAGCCTGGATTAATGTTGCACCTACCAAAATTAAATCTAACCTACAAAAATAACAAAATGTAATACTCACTAGCGCATACAAAGTTCCCGCTCAACAAATTTTCATTACCTACACGAATACGGAAACTTACAACCACTCCATGATAGACTTCTAACCAGACCTTTCACCTGTTTCAAGAGAAATTTGCACAAAAACAAAACGTTACGCGCACTAGATCGCTATATCATACATGATGGAAATGAGTCTAAGTACCCCTCTCACCCATAAACATGTACTATAAGTTTAGTAATATGCCACCTATTGTTAGACCTACCTAATATATCATTATGTAGTTTATAACATAATGTTATTAAAAGGGTATTTATGTAAATACACATAAAATAAGCCACATTATGAGAGGCAATAGAATATACGGAAATTGAATTAGCAACTATATCCCTGTGTGAATGGTAAAGGTTTGAACATAAATGAACACGGCCCTGTTAGGGGAACTGAATTCACACGTTAATCACTCATAAAAGCAATACCCTCTTTTATGTGGCGTTCAACTTTTGACAGTGTATAAAAAAATGCCGAGAATCTTTATAGCTCTTTCTGCTGAAAGAATTTCCAAAGTTATAAAATAAAGAAAAAATATTTCATCGCAAGAGGGCTTGCTTGATTTTGACTTATTAACTTACTGGCAGATCTCGGCAACCGTACTCATACAGAAAGTATTGTTAGACATTAGCACTCGTACAGAAAGTATTGTTAGACATTAACACTCACACAGAAAGTATCGTTACACCTTATCACTTACACAGAAAGTAGTTACACCTTAATAATTTTTTTATGCACGTGTGAAAGTATCTCAAATATTAGTAGATATAAATTTAACGACAAAGTGTAATGTATATAATTTTACAAATCTTACGTCGACAATGAAGTTTGTCTTCAGGTTCTCCTAGTTTTGATGATGTCCATAAAAGTGCATTCTTCCATGTTATTGCTGTTTTTTCGTTTATCTCCCAGGAAACAGATCTGTCCACAATCAGGTTTAGCTGACGACGTGAACGCTGTTTTATCCAAAATTTCCGGATCACCGGATAATAATATACTTCCAAATGAATTTGAAACATCCGTCCTGCATCATTCTTGGCCACAGTTTTCTTCACGCTGCAACCTACAATGTCATTCATGCCAACCTTCTGGATCTTGGGCTTTGGGTCATTTGTAAGGGGTTCGCAAACAAGGGCCAAATTTGTTAGTTTGACCACAAAATACGTCATTTTATTAACCTTGGTAAAAGAGCTGAAGTAATCTTCTAAAATTACATTTTCTTTGACTTCATTATTAGAGCTGCATTTAAAAGGTATTTGGCTGTCGAATTCGGTTTCTTTTCCTATCTCAGCCATAATTGTTATATTGTATTTTAGAGAATTAAGCCTTTCAAAAACAACAATCTACGACACGTATACTTACGGATATGAACCTCTAACTAAAGCAACGTTAGCACGTGTGTGTATAATATACAACAGCAGTTCACCCGGTTTTCTTGTGACGAGAAGTTGTTTTCGTAGCAAAAGACCTTCTCGTTAACTCTTGCCTTTCATTGGCAAGAATCCAACCACGTGAAAGTTTTTTATAACTTTGTTACCATTACACTCTGGGACACAGGGTAGCTCAAAAAATAACTATTTCGAAAATAGAACCAAACAGGTCTTGAGAGATCGTGTCGTATGCTCGTATGTTACAAGCGACACATAATCACCAAAATGTTAACGTCCTACATTGTGCTGTAATAATATTAGTTGTAGAAGGGAAACTGTGTATTTAGAACTTTATCTTGGTAAATAATAAAAATTATCGGCGCTCACTGAATAATTGAATATATCATAAAATAAACTCTTGCCTAGCAGTGTGGAAGTAGGCAGACTTGGAGAAATTCCACAATAATATGTTTCACAAAAGCTAAAATAAGACGAAGCAATTGTTTGGGAAAAAATACTTAAAAAAAACGTATGGTCTAGAAGAAATGTATTATTTTTAATAAGAAACTTCTGAGTGAAAGTAAAGAACAATGCAGAAGAATAATATGTCAATCACTCTACATTTGCAGTACCGAAGAGACTTTTCGTACAATGCCAGAAGTCTTCAGCTTGGCTGACATACGATAGATATAGTATCGCTTGACAGCAACTTCTTTTCGATTTATATGTTGTTTGTTATTACGCACAAAGGTACACAAAAAGCTGTCTGTGCTCTGCCCACCACGGGGATCGAAACCCGAATTCTAGCGGTATAAGCCCGCAGACATACCGCTGTGCCACTGGCTCGATTTATCTAAGCAAATCGCTTGACAATAACTTGTTTTCGTCGTGAGTGGAATTAACTTGTTTTAATATTTATTGTGTGATCTTCTTCGTGATTCGATTCGAATGATTAATTAATTCTTGTTTCGAAATTTCTGTTTTACCTTTTATCCTCAAGGATGGGTGTTGTTACCCATCTACTGAAACCAAAACGTCTACAAAAATAGCGACCAATTCGATTATGAGATATTTACGAATTGATAAACAAAGTAATGATATGGGGATTCCGTGCAGTGTTAAACAACGTGATTATATGGGGGTTCCGTGCAGTGTTAAACAACGTGATTAAATACCTGGATGTTAACAATGAAACACAATGCACGTAAACCCACTCTCTCCGATTCAATGTTTACCTTATTATTTCGACTTTTTTTTATATAAGGTTTTATCATAAATCGCGTAATCTTGATATTTAAACTGCTAAACGAGAGATGCTTAAATTACAAAATAAATAACCACGATATTATAAATTATATTTACTTAAGGATTTCATAGAATAAACGTGTTTGTAGCATACCTGTCAACATTGAGAGGTGCCAAATCGGGAGATCCTGGTTGCGTGTCGGGAGATCGGGAAACAGGACTCCATATCAGGAAACTCTAGCCGAAATCGGGAAAATTGACAGGTCTGTTGTAGTTCCATGGTAGGACATTCAACTGTGGATAGAGAAGTCCTCGATTTAATTCTGGTCGCCCCTATATGCCTCCCCCTAGGAGCCAGCGATAAATTTACGGACTTATAATGCTAAAATTCGGAGTTTGATGTTCCTAATAGGCGGGATAAATTCTGTCTCTAGTATCTCAGAAGTCCCCCAGTGAGGTCCTCCGGTGGGTTAGCGATAAGTTTACGGACTTCCACCTCTAAAATCTGGGGTTTGATTCCCCGTGGCGTAGAGAGCGCAGTTAGCTAAAACCCATGTAATCACGTTAACACTGCTCAGAACCCCCATGTAACCACGTTGTTTAACACTGCTCAGAACCCCCATGTAATCGTGTTGTTTAACACTGCTCAGAATCCCCATGTAATCACGTTGTTTAACACTGCTCAGAATCTCCATATAATCACGTTGTTTAACACTGCTCAGAATCCCCATATCATCACGTTGTTTAACACTGCTCAGAATCCCCATATCATCACGTTGTTTAACACTGTCCAGAACCCCATGTAATCATGTTGTTTAACACTGCTCAGAATCCCCATACAACGTGGAAACATAAATATATTGTTTATGAATATACGGTAAGTTAGGGTTAGTGGATAATGTCGTGTTTCACTTGGTAATTGTATTAATAAAGTAATGTGACTGTGGTAGTATTATTGTTACATTATAACATTCATTTGTGGTTTAAACGATATCATATTTTCTGATGGGCGCTGCATGGATAATTAAAAACGCGGCTATTTTTTAACTGTTAATGCTCAAAGTACGGGATTTTTTTTTTATCTTAAACAACTTTGTTTCTTGACAATGCTCGGCATCCCAACAATATTTTGTATAAAGTTGGTGTGAATCAAGCCTACACGAGGTGACCCTCATCTTTCAAACTGGTTTGGTTTGTTTTGAATTCCAAGCAAAGCTACACGAGGACTATCTGCGCTAGCCGTCTCTAATTTAGCAGTGATAGACTAGAGGGAAAGCAGCTAGCCAACACCACCCACCGCCAACTCTTAGGCTACTCTTTTACCAACGAATAGTGGGATTGATCGTCACATTATAACGCCCCCACAACTGAAAAGGCGAGCATGTTCTATGACGGAGACTCGAACCCGCGACCCTCAGATGGTGAGTTGAGTGCCTTAACCACCAGGCCTCATCTTTCAAATATTCGCATTTATAGAATGGGCAATAAAGAATGCAAATTTGGTGTGATAATTTCCAAGGCAAACCTGTAATAAGATTATTATATTTAACCTAATTGGTTTCGCACCTTTCAAATGTAGTCAATAATTCATCCGGGACTTTCAAAAACCACAGTAGGCACTTGTTTCACTTATTCCAAGAAAAACGTAGAAGTATTTAAGAACTAGTTTATATCAGTTCAAATGAATTCCTGTATAAATCGGAGTCTTATTAATAGTAACTTCTGACCAAAGGTAAGTAAACTCTAGATTAAAACGAAAAAAGTAACTTATAAATTCATGAAACCATTTTTACTTAAACAACTGATTAGAAATAAGGTAATGTCCTAAATCAAAGCACAATAAAACTGAAGCCTAAAGTGAATAAAATCTTTTCAAACTTAATTCGATTACTTTCGTTTGTCGGCCGTGATCACAATTATATCTCACGAGGTTATGGGTAGGTAGTAAAGTTGGTATGTATCAAAAAGGTATGTTTGAATTCAATTGGATATTTTCATCTCTCACCTCAGAACATAGCCAGTATTATGTAATAACGTGACGATCTCAGCATATGCTTTAAGTAAACCCTTATAACTTACTCTGAATACTACAAATATTCAATTCCTGATATAAATACATGTTTTCCTAACCATTATATTTTAGGCTTATCTGGTCCATTATTCTGAACTGACCTAAATCCCACTGATTCAAGTAGTTTTAAATAAGTTTCTAAATAGGATACGTTTAAATTCTCTTTCTTACTTCATTTGCGGTCCCCCGGTGGAACAGCGGTAAGTTTACGTACTTATAACTCAAGGATTCGATTCCCCGTGGTGTACATAGCATATAGCAACGTGGCTTTGCATTAAATCCAATAAACTCAAATTATGTCGACATTTACTGAGTTATCTACTGATTATTATTTTTTTTGTATTAGGTTTTCAATTAATTTTTGGATGCTCCCCTAATTTTGGATCTTTACTCATCAGTACTCATAAATCTTCGTTAGTCATAATACGAAGGTTACCGATAAGCACGTGGTCGATTGGAGAGGAAATGTAATGCAATGAATTATATCCGCATCCTGAAAATACATTGTTATGTAACTCTTATGTTGCCCAACCATGTATTATATTTAAAAAGTTACTGCCTACGGCCCTCTTGCAAGAACAGCTAATAGCTGGTTATTTGATTTTGAAAGAGTTAGGTAACAGTTGGTGTTCAAAAGTGTTTGATTTTGAAAGAGTTAGGTAACAGTTGGTGTTTAGAAGTGTTTGATTTTGAAAGAGTTAGGTAACAGTTGGTGTTTAGAAGAGTTTGATTTTGAAAGAGTTAGGTAACAGTTGGTGTTTAGAAGTGTTCTTACCTAACTCTTTCAAAATCTAGTTGGTGTTTAAAAGTGTTTGATTTTGAATGAGTTAGGTAACAGTTGGTGTTTAAAAGTGTTTGATTTTGAAAGAGTTAGGTAACAGTTGGTGTTTAGAAGAGTTTGATTTTGAAAGAGTAAGGTTACAATTGGAGTTTAGAAGTGTTTGATTTTGAAAAGAGTTAGGCAACAGTTGATGTCTTGAAGTGTTTGATTTTGAAAGAGTTAGGTAACAGTTGATGTTTAGAAGTGTCTCAGTTCTGTGCTTCTGTCAGTGAATGGAACTATAAAGTAAATATGTTTTTCTTATGTTCCGTACTGTTGTTGTTTCACGTTTAAGTCATGATAAAAAGCAACTAATCCCTCATCAAACTTAATGATACTTCTATTTAAACAAAAGGAAAGAAACTAATGTGATTAAAAGATGCGTTCCTTTCATCACCCCCTCCCCTCCCCCAGTGGCACAGCGGTATGTCTGCGAATTTATACTACAAGAAACCTGGTTTTGATACCCGTGGAGGGCAGAGCACAGATAGCCCTATGTGTAGCTTTGTGCTTAATAACAAACAACAACAAACTTTTATCAGTGGCGCCACCTATTTGACGTTAATAGATGTATAAACAAAACTATGAAAAAGTGTTTGTTAATTCTTGATATTTACTTACACGAGATATGTTCAACACGATAGCCATTAGCAATGTACAAACCTTGGTTAGTATTGGGTCGGTAGGAAAACTTTGGTCAGTACTGGGTCGGTAGGAAATACCTTGGTGATTATTGGGTAAGAAGAAAAACCTTGGTCATTACTGGGTCGGTAGGAAATACCTTGGTGAGTATTGGGTCAGAAGAAAAACCTTGGTCATTATTGGGTCGGTAGGAAAACCTTGGTCAGTATTCGGTCGTTAGGAAAAACCTTGGTCAGTAATGGGTCGGTAGGAAAAACCTTGGTCAGTAATGGGTCAGTAGGTTATAAAAGAATATTTTCAAACACACATAGGTTAATGTTATTCAAGCAAATAAGAATATTATTTCAAGATGCACGTGTATGTGTACTTAATAGCATCAGTGAAGTCCAACCAAGAAGATACGTAAAAAAATCAAACTTTTTTTAAACATAAAAACGTGTATAGATATTTATATGTGTAAGCAACGTAAAGTTGGGGTATGTCAGTTAGGTAGAACTAACCTGAGGTACAAATAAACAACAAAAAATGACGTTCTTTGTGAACATGAAATAGCATGTATGATCGAGTAATATCAGGTTTTGGCTGAGAACGTCCGTTAATACGAGTAAGCAATATATCAGGTTTATTTACTGAGAACGATCACTAACATTATTGAACAATGTATTAGATTTATTTAATGAGAACGATCACTAACATTATTGAACAATATATCAGGTTTATTTACTGAGAACGATCACTAACATTATTGAACAATGTATCAGATTTATTTAATGAGAACGATCACTAACATTATTGAACAATATATCAGTTTTATTTACTGAGAACGAAAAATACAAACATAAAAAGAAAACATCAAGGGGGTGTAGCTCAGTGGTAGAGCATTCGACTGCAGATCGAGAGGTCCCTGGTTCAATCCCGGGCGTCCCCTGAGGATTATTTTTCTACTTTGGAAATATTAAACCATCAAACATTGTGACTGGACTTACTGAAAGTTCGTGCCTGGAATTTGAATCAAAAATACACCCTGATCAATATTTGGAAGTTCTTATCGTTCTTTACTAGATGTTAAAGACTATAGTTCTTAGAAATTAATTAGTTTAAATGAACTTAGATACTTAGTGTGGACTGCGGGTGGTAGGGTGCTGCAGACTGCCCGGTTTCCGTATGGTCAGTAGTCAAAAATTAAAAATGGCGACATACGTAAAAACAAAATAAAAATTCAAGCATATTCAACATTATAGCTTCACAGTATAGAGTTATCAGACGAAGTGAGTGTTTTTGTTGTGTGCAAATATATAAAGTATATTTATATACTGTAACGCTGATACGACCTAATATAATGCATTGTTCGAGAATAGCGTATTTTTTTTACAACACAAAAAATGACGAATGAGTCGCCAAATTCTGTCTTCACCTCGTATGAACGGCGTTATCATCATGTTTAGTACATTAGACTAAACATAACATGCAGAAGTTACATGATTAGCTGGACACTTAATGTTTCTTGGTCTCAGGAAAATATAATAACCTTTTTGTTTACGCGTTTGTAGTATCTTTGACCTATTAGTATAAAGGTCCAGGCCACCTGATTAATTGATATATCTTATACGTATATATATATAAAGCAGAAATGATCAACAAAAAGTTAACAAAACGAAGTTACATGCACCGTGTCTCGATTATCCCTATGTGTACGGTTGGGGGGGGGTCAAAGTGTGCAAGCCACGACTTTCTTTACAGAGAGCCATTCAACATGGTATTCTGTATTTGATGTTAGAGTTATCAACTGTCTTACGCTACATTGCTGGTTTTGTGACAGTTACTGGAAGAGAACAAGAAACACCAGACACACTATATAGAGATACTGAAAAAAAAATGCATTTCGGAGGTTCTAGACGTTATTCAAATTGTATGATGGACACAAGTATTTTTATTCTTCACATGACCACCATCTTGTACTTCGACTTCTCAGAGTCCGTGTCAGAATGACATCATCAATTCACAGACATCTTGAGAACCAATACTCTTGAAACTGATCTGAGTTTTAGGTACAACAGACTTGTAAATTTGACTAAAAGCTGGCCAAATTTTGTGTACATACACAAAATCAATTCGTAATTATAATCAATATTCCTTCTCCAATACCAGGCTAGTCTAATGGACTGACCTTGTGTACATTCTGTTATATACTTAATTATTTCTAACCACGTGAGTTATTACTTGTTCAGTGGAATGTCACCTGTAAGAACTTTCAACGAACTGCTTCTGGATGTACCATTTGAAATACTTCCAAATCATCCTCACTTGTAATGAACAAATCTGAACGATATGGTCTTAAAAAGTAATACTAAATTCATACCGACGGAAAGGAAAACATGAAGGGGGCGTAGCTCAGTGGTAGAGCATTCGACTGCAGATCGAGAGGTCCCTGGTTCAATCCCGGGCGCCCCCTGAAGATTACCTTTTCCACTTTAGAAGTATTAAACCATCAAACACTGTGACTGGATTAATTGAATGTTCGTGTCTGGAATCTATGAATCAAAATACACCCTGATCAATATTTGGAAGTTCCTATAGTTTCTTACTAGATGTTAAAGACTCTAGTTCTTAGAAATTAATTAGTTTAAATGAACTTATATACTTATTTATAACAGAAACACATGTAGGCAAACCAGTAAAACACACTTTTTAGGATGCTTTATGTGTGTATTTAACATTTCTCCCTTACGTTACATGGTTCACTCTACGGACTGTTCCAGATAAATAACCGTACCCGTTGATGATGACAAAACCTTGTCGAAACGTTGTACATTTGCTGTTATATTAAAGTTTTTCTTCATTACCCATTCAAGCCGTCTCCAGCCATTATTATACCTATTTTGTAGCCACACTGTACAATAAAACTCTTTCTGCCTGTTAAAGTTTCTCGTTCCAAATAAATCGAAATTTCCAAACTTCGATAATTTTATCAAAACTCATCAGCTCCTTTTCGAACTTTGTACTTTATATATATTAATACCATTAATTTTCCAAAAATACAGCCCATTAACCAGACGTTTTACACTTCTCAAAAATAGATTTAATTGATATATTTTCTCTATAACACTACACTCAGTAGGTTTCTTTTATAGCTATCTGTGCCCTTGTAGGGTTCCATTATGTATTACGTTTGAGAAGGCACAGTGGTATGTCTGCTGACTTACAACGCTAGAAACCGGGTTTCGATACCCGTGGTGGGCAGAGCAAAGATAGCTCAATGTGTAGCTTTCTGTTTAGTTACAAACATAAAACATAAACACGTTTGAAAAGTTACGGTTTAAATGTAGAAAGCCAGTGAATTACTGGAAACCAATAAGCCAAACAAATGTTTTAAAAATCACGTTAGAGCAAGTGTTGTTGTTTTTTATTTTAGATTCACATTAATTCAGGTGGGTTAAAGTAGCATTTTAGCTCCATCTTTTGTCTCTTACTCGTAGCTGTCCAAGAAGATCTTCGTACAATATCAGAACACATCAGTTGTGCCCAATGACGAGAGACAAAAGACTATAGAACATTATTATATACCAGCTGGAGTACCCGTCCCCTAGATGGAAGTTATGTAAGTTCATGATAAATGAAAATTTATATTAGGACATGAAAAGTTGCTTCCCTTATATGTAATTGTAAAAAACGCGAAAACGTCCATAAAACCCGTAAAACTCATAACTGAAAACTTGTATGTATCTCCCCATGGACCCAATGAAACTCCATATCAAATTTGGTGAAGATCCATCAATAGGGGGCGAAGCAGCAGTAAGAAACACAAAAATGCCCATAAAAAACCGCAAAATGCAAAACTGACTAACTCTTTTTTCTTCAGAAGAAAATAGTTTCAAAGATCTTAATCTATCGTCATATGACAAACCCTCCACCCAAGACACCATTCTAGTTACCCTCCTCTGAACCCTTTTTAACAGTTCATTGTCCTTCCTAAGGCAAGGAGCCCAAGACTGAACATAATAATTTAAACATGGCCTAACCAGTAACCTATACAATAAATTATAACCTCCTTAGACTTGTATTGAATATTTCTGCAAATACAACCTAAAATCTTATTTGTCCTACCACTAGCAACAGCACACTGCTTGGATGGTTTGAGAGACTGATCAACTATTACACCAAGATCCCTTTCTTTTATGACACTGTTGAGATTATTCCCATCCATATTATACTTATTATTCAAATTATGATAACACAAATGCATTATTATTATTAAACCCATTTGCGATTTATTTCCCCAATTCACTAAATCCTTTTGTAAAGCAGCAACATCCTCTTCAAACTAGTAACATCCAAGACCTTTATAGCATCAGTAAATTTAAGTAATTTATCAACTATTTCTTCATCCATATTCTAAGACTGATCCCTGAGGTGCCCCACGTGTGACATTAATCCAGTTTTGACTGAACTTCCATCCAGCTACTCTTTTATCCAGTTAGCTAACTTATCCACCACATATATACATAAATACAATTTAGCTTTTTTAAATTTTAATCATCTCTGGTTTTGAGCTGCAATGGACAAATTAAGATGAAAGTGGGGAAAAGATTGCACTTAATTTGGTTTTAATAATACATCACGATTTATTTAACGCTAATAAGTTTACAGGAAAACTATTATATAAGTGCAGATGGCGCTTGAATCGTGTACGCACGTAGTGATAAGGTGAATTATAATGTTATATAAACATTAATAGTGTTCGTTCTTTTATTTTTTATAGATAAATCTTTACTTGTATGTACCTATAAACTTTTCACCAGAAAGTAAGCTAAACTTTTTTTTTGGCTGTCATAAACGTTATGTACGTAATTGGACGAAAGTACTTACCAGTGGCAGTTATGCCAAAACAAGTTTAGGAATAGGCTTATGTATACTAATTCCTAATAGTAATACTATATTATACTAATTTATTGACTCTGAACATTATTACTAATAAATTAGAATTAAGCTAAGTGTACTCTTTCATGCTTACAGATTTTTTTGGTCTAGCTTCTTTCAGAACACACCGTATTAACGAAACATTTTAAAGTCAGATTTCTGCTCGATCAATCGCTACGCCAGCTTGTAAATTGTAATCTGCAGTCGCTGTCGTTACAACTTCTGCTTGACAATGACGTATCTTGAACTTAACATTTTTGTCAAGATTAAACGCAACATTATAATGATAATTTTATATCATCGTCATTTCATTAATATGAAATACAGAGTAATAACTGAATGCTGTGTATTGAAATGTTTGCAGTCTATATGACTGTTTGAATTCAATGTAAATATAGGTTTTCATAAAGCTATCTTCAGTAAGTAGTTACAAACTACAGTTTAAATGAGTTAAACTAAAAGAGACGTTTAAGTTAGTAGTTGTCGCACTAATCATGTCTGAGTAAAATACACAGTAAAAATAAATACCATTGTTTCTGACAGGTATTGCTTTGTTATACATATTAGTGAAAATTGACTTTTTTATAAAAACAAAAGTTAACCTGTGTGTGTCTGATTTATAAAACACAAGAAATAACCACTGTGTTCCCTTATTTTAGATTACAAGCAATCATAAGGGAATACAAAGTACACTCTAATAGTTTATTACTGATAACCTGTATAACAAAACACCTGGTGGAAACATATATATGAAAAAATATAAGAATGTTGTCATGCATGAATAGAATCCATCTATGTTAACATCTACATAAGCCAAAAAATCTTGCCGATGATGACTGAATGTCTGTGGTGCACCTGCCTTAATAAAGTTAATACAGAAAATGATGCAAATACAAACCTCATTAAAGGTGCTTTTTGTTAAAAGAAATTGTTTGTGTAAAGAAAGAACTAAGACAATAATAAGTGTTAAAAGTTCCATGCTGTCACGTAAAAGGTTGATCCCCATATAACGTAGTTAAAACTCGTCCATATGGATATGTTTCTTTAAGTAAGCAGTAATACCTATAACTACTGAGAAAAAGAAGATATAAAATAAAATTAAATGTTTAAATTGTTTATATGTAGTAGTATTGAATATTTTTCTTTAATATTGCATTTCAATGCCACCATTTAAATTACTGTGGTATCTCATGTTAACAGAAATATCTGGATGTCAGCTCTGAGGCGAGAAGTGTTGTCTCTTTACAAAAATATCCTTCGAACTGGCAAGAACTGGGAAGCAGCTTCTGGAAAACCACAGCATACTGAATCAGAAAGAAAATATATAATTAATGAAGCAAAGGAATTGTTTCGTAAAAATAAAAATGTGACTGAGAATATTGATTCTTTTTTACTTTCAAGAGTTTTCTGTGCATGAAACAGTATACAATGTATATAATTCAATGCATTCTATACACTTGTACATTACTACACTTTTACTGTAGCTTCTGTATGTAACTAAAGGACAGAGCATACTCTAAAACTAGAGATCAAAAGCAAGTACATTACTACACTTTTACTGTAGCTTCTGTATGTAACTAAAGGACAGAGCATACTCTAAAACTAGAGATCAAAAGCAAGTACATTACTACACTTTTACTGTAGCTTCTGTATGTAACTAAAGGACAGAGCATACTCTAAAACTAGAGATCAAAAGCAAGTACATTACTACACTTATACCATAGCTTCTGTATGTAACTAAAGGACAGAGCATACTCTAAAACTAGAGATCAAAAGCAAGTACATTACTACACTTTATACCGTAGCTTCTGTATGTAACTAAAGGACAGAGCATACTCTAAAACTAGAGATCAAAAACAAGTACATTACTACACTTATACCGTAGCTTCTGTATGTAACTAAAGGACAGAGCATACTCTAAAACTAGAGATCAAAAGCAAGTACATTACTACACTTTTACTGTAGCTTCTGTATGTAACTAAAGGACAGAGCATACTCTAAAACTAGAGATCATAATAAAATCATGCAGTAGGTCTTAGTTAATATCCTTCTATGTTTTTATATAAAGGTTGTTTTTTATTATTAAACTTGTAACTTAACAAGGCCCAATTTGATGATAAATCTGGAGTATGTAATATCAGGAAATATTTTTAAAATTTATTAGAAGTTTTCTAAAATAACAGCTATAGCTGAGGGCTTTCATTTTGTGGAGAAAAAAAATATCAATAACTTATTTCACTGGAGAGTTATTCATCTTTCTTTGCCTTTTCTCTGACCAGTATTTTTCATTTTCTGGTGGAAACTTTATTTGTGCTCTGTCATGTTTTAAAAAGTTCAGTTTATTGTTTGCATTTAAGTATTTAAGTTTCTTGCAAAGTCTGCCTTGAAAACAGCAGTCGATAATTGTCAAAATAAGTCAACTTTGACAATCAGTTTGGAAGTTGTATCAAAATTTGCTTAAGTTCTCCTGCTTGGTTCTGGAATCTTTATACTCAAGTCTAAAAGAAGTGAACAATTATAACTACTGGATATAATGTGAAAAATTAACACCACATTTTAAGGATTTTACTTGGTTAAGCCAAAATCAGGTTAAAAGTCTTTTCTTGGAACTTAAGATCTTAATGACTAGAAATATTGTATTAAAACTTTCTGACTGGGGCGTGTATCAAGAATATATAATGTTATAAATAACTTTTCATAATGAAAGTTAATGAATAGTTTTGAGTACCAGTTGTGTAACATATAATCAGCATTCTGTATTGGCTACAGAATTTATGGAAACATTTCTTAATTAATGTGTAAAATGTTAATTTCCTCCACAGGTTATATTGCATTAGTACTCTTCATAACTATACTGAAATACAATAAGAACTTTGGAATATTGGCTTAATAAACAACAAGTATAACTAATTAAACTTTCTTATCTTTCAGTATTAGTATTTATCTACATTCATCCAAAAGTTTGTTTGGATTTGTACATAAAACTCGTACAAAATGCTCCAATAGAAATTAGAAGACCTATTTACCTTTACTTGGATTTAGTAAAGTTCTTTTATTTCTGAACTTGTCTATAAGGTCACATCAGGAGAGCTTTGTCAAATTTAAAAACACTTATTGTCACTTAACTGTGATGTTTTGTTTACATCAATCTGCACAGTGCAAGAAAGAAAGTTAAACAAAGGTGTGTACGTGTATGTTTTTATTCAACAGTCCTAACGTAAATAAGGAAATTCTTAATACAACAGAGAGAAAAAGAAGAATAAACAGTACGGTACTAACTTTACACTACAGTTGGGTTTACAATCTTGTATGTAATGTCTTACGTATAAACAGTATGGTACTAACTTTACACTACAGTTGGGTTTACAATCTTGTATGTAATGTCATACGTATAAACAGTACCGTACTAACTTTACACTACAGTTGGGTTTACAATCTTGTATGTAATGTCTTACGTATAAGCAGTATGGTACTAATTTTACAATACAGTTGGGTTTACAATCTTGTATGTAATGTCATACGTATAAACAGTACCGTACTAACTTTACACTACAGTTGGGTTTACAATCTTGTATGTAATGTCGTACGTATAAACAGTACGGTACTAACTTTACAGTTGGGTTTACAATCTTGTATGTAATGTCTTACGTATAAACAGTATGGTACTAACTTTACACTACAGTTGGGTTTAGAATCTTGTATGTAATGTCCTACGTATAAACAGTATGGTACTAACTTTTCACTACAGTTGGGTTTAGAATCTTGTATGTAATGTCCTACGTATAAACA